TGAACGACATGTGTGTAATCAGTGTACCATGGCAACAGTAGGCATCTACATCTTAAAACAGTTGCTGCTGAAGATGGCGCATCTCTGTGTATGCCCGGTGTTCTATTATGTCGATTCCTAATTCATTAAAATCAGTAAACCAACGATCCAATTTTGAAGCTTAGTTACCCGTTTTGTAACAAAAATGTTTAGGTTCCGGCCCTCTAATGAAAACTGTCACAATCAAAGTCGAGAGGATCAACTTCATAGGCTCATATGGCTTAATCCTTCTCCGTAAAATCGCTAGGAGCCTGTCGATGGCGTCATACAAAGCGCAAACTCCGTAGCTTCAGCGACGATCTGAATAATTATCCTATGCTTACTTAACCGAACGACACATTCCGTGGAGCGAACCCACAATCTTCACAGTGCCAGGCAAATGGCTTTCCCCTCTCACCACCAGGTCTACCAAGCTGATGATATCATATCATAACGATCCCCTAACGCATACCTACCGTAAATAGGAAAGTCTGCACTGGAAGAATCAAGGGATCAATCAGGAAGCTCGTGCATCTCGGAGTTGTCAGGGTGCACGCAAGGAAAGGATGTGATGCAATAGAGAAGGTAACCAGGGTCGTGTTGGCATCCCCATCACTGATGTTGTAGTTCTCCGCTGTGATAGTGTAGTTACTGATTGCAACCACAGATGGACAGAATAATGCTGGGGGAAACATGTGAATGCTATTTATTGTCAGTTATATATGGTTTCATTATCATTATCTACCTGCCTTGTCCTAGGAAGAGGAAAGTACTGCCAGTGCCATTAATGTCTACATTTGCACTTTTGTAGTGTAGATAGGCAGGGGGAGGGGTCGTCTTTGAGCCTGCGGATTTAAGGCCGCATAGCTAGTGCTATCACCACGAACTGTGCATGTTATGATTTTTCTTTTGCAGGAAGAGGAAATACAACATGAAAACGTCATGCTATTGCAGGACTTACTAGGCCCTCAGCCTTGGTTGACAGCTGGTCTAAGAGCGAGGCTCCGGCAGGTGGACAGGCAGAGCAGTGCTATTCTGATCCGCAGCTTCGGCAGCGTTCTTTGCTCCAAACGTCTTGAGGTTACCTTTCCTTTGGAATTAACAATGCTAGCAAAGGAAAGGATCATGATGCATGTACAACATATAGTCTCTACAAAACTGCCCAGCGGTTGTGCTATGGACATGAAGAACATCATTCCTCACCTAAATGGTCTCGGCTGGGCTTGATTCCCCTGCCGCCTTAAAGCACAATAAAAGGTCTGTACTACTGTAATGTCGGCTCTGTGGCTAAGTCGATGCGAACGCTTCGTAATGCCGGGATGCCGGGTTTGATCCCAGCTGCGGGCCATGCGCCTTGCGTTGGTTTCGACAGTGGTATCAAGAAAGCCGACCGTCCAGAGGGCAATGGCAAACTACTGGACGTAAATTTTCCTAGAAAAACCAGACAACACCCAGTGGCTGTTGGAGTTGGTTCTGCAACGTCCTGTAAAGGATAAGCAACTAACAACTGTAATACCTGAAAATAGTAACCATGTAAATGAGGTGTCTGAGAAAGACTGTAGGAATGACCAGAAGAGAGAAAATCAGGAATGAGGTCATGCGAGATAAATTCGGCACAGAATCAATTCTGAATTACATAGAAAGACAGCAAATCAAATGGCTTGCCTACTTGGAGAGAATGTCTTTCGATGATGTACCATACAAGGCATACACCAAAAGAGGGGAGGGACATAGAGCAAGAGGTAGACCAAGAACAATATGGAAAGATAACATCAGAGAAACTCTACAGCACTACAATGCGTCTATGGTCGAAGCAGCCAGAAGAGCACGAGGCAGGACCTTATGTCTCCCTCGATACTCGAAGCGGGAAAAGAGTACGTAAAGAAGAAGAAGACGAGTGTAATAAACGCTTTGCTAGAGTACCAGCACAGTTTTTATTCTATAAAATGAAAAGGCATGCTTAAAACAGACAGTTTTGAAAACAAAACAATTCAGCCTAAAAGAGTTTCACCTCTGCAGCCTTTCTTTTGAAGCAGCCTTTGGGTTTCCCACATAGTTACCAGCCAGTTCTCACCCCACCCTCTTTTCCCCGGGTCGCCCCTGCCCCTCCATGTTCAAGTGTTGTATAATGTCAGTATTTCTCTTTATTATTATCCACGATGTTTTTAAAGGGGGAGAAACGATCAAATTGAAAAGACCAGATTTTTTCCTCCCAGCGACCGTGAAATTATCCTAATCTGACACCCGCATATTGACTCAGGATGGAGGCATGCTTTTAATATATTTGCTTGGATTTGTTTATTTTCACATATGTGTTTAATGTTGTTTAACCGTCGTAAGGCGTCAGTCTCTTTCTCACTTCTTGTGACTATTGTTTTAGTTTATGTAGGAAAGGTGGTTACAATTTCAGTCAATGTCAATGTTTTTGTCGTCATTATTTGATCGTGATGGTTAACTGGCATACTTTGTCTGTTCAAAAACTAATTTTAATCTTCACCATATCTAATGACAGACATGATTTGATGTTCTAGTCGTGTTTAATCTTCACCATATCTAATGACAGACATGATTTAATGTTCTAGTCGTGTTTAATCTTCAGCAGATCTAATGACAGACATGATTTAATGTTCTAGTCGTGTTTAATCTTCAGCAGATCTAATGACAGACATGATTTAATGTTCTAGTCGTGTTTAATCTTCAGCAGATCTAATGACAGACATGATTTAATGTTCTAGTCGTGTTTAATCTTCAGCAGATCTAATGACAGACATGATTTAATGTTCTAGTCGTGTTTAATCTTCAGCAGATCTAATGACAGACATGATTTGATGTTCTAGTCGTGTTTAATCTTCAGCAGATCTAATGACAGACATGATTTAATGTTCTAGTCGTGTTTAATCTTCAGCAGATCTAATGACAGACATGATTTGATGTTCTAGTCTTTGTCTATTGTATGAGACAGGGACCCTGTATAAAGTAGAGTGTGTAGAAGCCCTTTTATTTATTTCTTTTCTCTCTATTCTCTTGAAAGTCTGTGAGTGTATGTATGGATGTCTGTATGTATGTGTGTATGCATACATGTGTGTATGTATGTAATGTGTGCGCGCATGTATGTATGCATGTATGTATATGTCTATGTGTTTATGTATGCATGTTGGTGGATGTATGTATGCATATTTAGCTGTATAAGTATATGTGTGTATTTAGGTATGTATGTGTGTAAAGATGTGAGTGTATGTATAAATATGTGTATGAATGCATGTATGTGTGTGTATGTATGTATGTATGCATGTATGTGGGTGTATGTATTCATGTGAGTGTAAATGTGTGGTTGTGTGCATATGTTAGTGTCTGTACATGTGATTGTATATGTGTGTATGCATGGATGCATGTATAGGTGTTTATGTATGGAGTGTGTGTGTGCATGTATATCCATAAATGTATGTGTGTTTTTTTTTCTGTTTGTGCATTTATGGCCATGTATGTATATGTGTTTTATGTTTGTGTATGTATGTAGATGCATGTGTGTATGTATTTCGTTTGTCTGTATATGAGTGTGCATCTATGAGAACGTAGAAATATGTATACATGTGTGTGAGTGCGTACGATTGTGTACACATGATGTGTGTATGCATTATTCTATAATTTATATTTCTTTATTTTATCCATAACATGCAATATTGATAACAGGCATTGGTACTCGGAAAAATGAGTGCTTAGAAGGGCCTAATGTCAGACGGGCCTGCGTGTCCAATTTGTAACCCTTTGAAAATAAAGTTTGTTCGTTCATTGGTTCGTTCCCCCCTTCCCCTTTCCCCCACCCTTTTTCCCTCTATCCTTTTTTTCTAACGCCTGTCGCTGGAATACCCAAAACTCTTTCCGATACGTGGCTCAAGTTTTCATTTTATCAAATTGGGCACATTGCAGATTCGAACACAAAACTGTAGATCCAGTTAGCAAGCGTTACCAATTCTAAGCCGTGGCATACAAGAGGGTGGTGGTCAGCTGTTTGTCTCGCAGCTTTCCCTTCCCTGTAACTCTCAGGAAAATTATCCATTTGTGTATTTAATGTTAAAGCTCTGCGGCGAAGACGCTACTGAATACGTTTCACAGTTTTATGATCCTTATATAAATCATTCCCCTCTCAAAGTGAGATTCCATTCTGTTTATAGCCCCAATTTGTGTCACGAGGTGCTTATTGCTGGTCTTGCGGCCCTGGTAGGGTTAAATATCAGTCAGTCAGTCAGACAGTCAGTCAGTCAGTCAGTCAGATCCTTGTGGTCTTCAAAACTAATGGTTTGTTTCTTCTTATACTTCTTCCTCTTCTTCACCGTTTGTAAACTCCGGAGGAAAGTTTTGGATGTTCGTCCACGTCTGGACTTTAGTCTTTTTCTAGAACCTGTGTATTGCGTGCACGTTCATTTTACAGATCTGACTTATTTGTACTCAGGTTGTTGGTTCTTTGCCTCTCCTGCAGATGCGCTCTGACTTGAAAGTAAGTGTAACAGGCTGGAAACTTACAGTTCAGTAGCCTGAAGATCTTCGATTTATTCTGGTTTTAAATTGGCCAACAGGCCAAAGAAGAAACATTACCAGTTATTAGTTTTAGACGGAAGATGGGGGAAAATCAGGCCACTGTGTATTTACAGATCAGACTGACTCAGTTTCAGTCTATTTGACTCCCGGACGGACTCTGCGCTAGCCTAACCTAGCGACTGCTGCTTTGCACAATCGGCCAGTCAGCAGGTATGGCGACCGCAGGGAAAGTCCGTGGTCTGTCTAATTTCGCAGGTGGTGGTACGTTTATTTGGTTAAGTGGTGATAGATTTGATGATTAGCATTTTAGACTCTGGTCGGGCACGTTGTTGTTGTTAGTGTCGTTAATTGGTTATTCGTAAAGTATACGTTAATTCTGTGTTATGTTGAGTAAAATAAACAGCTGTTAAATGTGATCATAATTCATTTGCTTGACTTAATTTAGGATCTGTAGTCCGTGGTTGTCTAGGTGTGTGTACCCATGTAGTTAGGTCGACCTCATGTAGTCTATCTGCTTACTCGTTTCTCAACACATCAGTATAACTGGGACTACTAAAGCGATGCTTGCCACTCTGCACGGAGCATGGCAAAATCCCGCCAAACTTCGTTTGCACCTATGGCCCCCGGGGGTTACTAAGTAACCAGAAATCCGGACCAGACAGGAATGAAAGTTTTCATGCACACACAGAAGCATGGCTGTCCACATTGTCTTACCTCCAAGCGAGGGTCTAACAGATAAGGTTGCTATAGCAACCAGGGCACGCACCAGGATCTGGTATCTGTCTTCTAAAGTCCTCCGCTGGTGCATTCTGGTCCTGTAATTATATAGTCAACAAAATGAATAATAAAATAATTGTTGTATGTGGTTTTGTGTGTTTTGTAGTTCCAGTAGAAGTACTTGAAAGTAATAGTAGTTACCTGTGTTGTTATTGTAATAGTAACAGTAGTTATCGTAGTAGCAGTATTAGTAGCAGCAGCAACAACATCAGAAGTCGTAGTAGTATTAGTAGTAGTAGTAGTAGTAGTAGTAGTAGTAGTAGTAGTAGTAGTAGTAGTAGTAGTAGTAGTAGTAGTAGTAGTAGTAGTAGCAGCAGCAGCAACATCAGAAGTAATAGTAGTAGTAGTAGTAGTAGTAGCAGCAGCAGCAGCAGCAGCAATAGCAACATCAGTAGTAGTAGTAGTAGTAGTAGTAGTAGTAGTAGTAGTAGTAGTAGTAGTAGTAGTAGTGGCGGTGGTAGTAATTGATGTAATCGTGATGGTGGTGGGGGTGTAATGGTAGTATTGTAGTGGTGGTAGTGGTAACAGTGGTGGTAGCAGTAGTAAGTGTTATAACAGTAGTTATGATACTCTCAGTTAGGTCCATCTATGGCTGGTCTGATGATGATGAAAATGATGATAATGATGATACTCCCATAAAAAGTTTTTACTCTTGCGACATCAGTGAATAAAAACGAACGTTGAGGCTTGTGCATATTTTGTATTCCTGATGGTAGAACCAGCAATAAAGGGAACTTGTCACTTCATCGCATCGGTACCACAAACTCGTGTATTGTTTGTGATAAACTTTGAATGTGTAAACTTCAAGATTTGACTGAAACTGACAAGACTGACACAGGAACGGACTAGTTATGGGGCACCCGTCTGAACCCAAGTTGAAACCTTGATTAACGACTGTCGACTAACTTGCTTGTAACAAGTTAAAGTTCATCCTTACAACTTTAATCTTCATGTTGTATATGTTTAACATAACCAAAACATACCTGGTTATTCCTAAATGTTGAAGTAGAGCATGTGCAATATAAAATGTAAAAAAACCGGCAATCTTTGGTGTGCTGAATAGTAATCACCAGATTATCTATGGGTATTTACTTCCACGCCCGGGTTTTAAAATTAGCAACTTATTCAAGAACCTGTTACATGCATGGCTGTAAATCCTGGAATGTGAATCCTCAAATAAGAAAGTGCCTAAAGGCAGTGAGGGGTGATTTCTGTAACGTATGTTGCAAAATATCTTCATGGCGCCTATTATCTATTTCTCTTTGATGTTATCGTCATCCATCTCTCGGCTGTCCAATCGTCTGCAATGTCGCGCTTTATCTAAAAACTGTTCTAAATTTTAATTTTGGTCAAAATCATAATTTATCAGTCCTTATCAGGTCCTTTTTTGTGTCGGATGTTTATAGAGCCATCGGCGTTCTGTAGCTGCTAACCCGACTCCGGCCATAATTACTTTCCAGAACGTTGCTTGGTACCCATTTCAGGCTGGACTGACCTGAAAGATTCACCCTGTCTTGCGATTCACATCCAAGACTTTCGGGTCTGTAAGAGAGAATCCAACAACAACGCTGCTGCAGCTTTCATTGACAGCTCATTATCGTATATTACAAGCATTTTTGGTCTCGTTGCCTCTGTCTGTTATCCTCAGTGGAACATAGAAGCTTAACTAACTCGTAAATCAACTTATTATGTATTAGTGGATCAATTTAACCAAGATTAACATCTTTATACAGGCTATTTATTCACATGTAGAAATGCCAGAAGCATTTTTGAAATTTTAGTTCTTTTTCTCTGTTCACCAGCTGTAAGCTTCCGTGAAAAATCTTTGTTGGTCATTCATTTCTTCTTTTTCATCGCGTTCACCGGCTGTAAACTCAAAGTTCTGGTTGCTTGTCCGCTTCTATCTGGACTCTAGTCCTGTTCCAGAACCTGAGTGTTACGTGTATATCCGTTTCACGGGTCTGACTTTTTTGCATGCAGACTGTTGATTTCTTGCCTCTTAGACAGATGTAGACTTTACAGGAAGCTCCCAGTTAGTCGACTCTTACGACATGCTGTTGGGCAGGCTGTGGGTCTATTCTTGTCTCTCCCTAACCCCCCCCCCCCACCACCACCACCAAAGGGGCCCCGCAACCCACACGGGGAGCTCAGTGATTTAGACTCTGGCTTTGTACCAGGGCCTGAGTTTTGCGTGTACATCTGTTTTACTTGCTTATCTGTGTGCAGCAGGTTATTCCTTGCCGCTCGGGCAGATGTGCTACGACATGGAAAAAAGCATCCCGATTAGTCGACTCCTACGACATGCTTGTTGGGGAGGCAGTTGGTCTATTCTTGTTGTTCCCCCTGTACAGGAGAATCGTAGTCAACTTAAGAGGTTGATACATAAAACAAGGAACAAGTCGCAACAAAGACTACATGAACGGACGAGAAAAAGCAATAACCAGGTTTTGGCACCTTCAGTCAACTTTCAGTGAGTATCTCCAGTTGCCAACATTGCACTGTTTCCGGTTGAATATCCAGTTGAACAGAGAAATATTTCAGGGTTTTAAAGTTCGTGTATTATCTTGACGATTGTTTAAAACATAGAGAACTAGATTACAAAACACCACAAATCAAAACGCTATTATATGAAAAACAAAGAAATTACACCCCCAAAAGATGTCACCATCTAGATAATAACTATAGAACAACATCACATGTCGAGCAACTACAGAAAACACAGTACAAACAAGAAAATGGTTATACAAACACGTCATGCATCAGTTTCCAACTATAGAAAACATGTCACGGACAGTATTACATCTATAGAACCACACTAAAAAAGTTAGACTATTTAATGGATACCATCCCACTGTGGAGTTTCTGGTAATGAAAGAGCTGATAAACTAGCTAAGGAAGGTACAAATAAAGAAAAACCTGACGTGCCAGCCTCTTATCAACAAAAGAAGAGAATAATAAAATCAACCAGAAAGTCACTAAAACCGACACAAGACGCAAGTTATTATTCTACACCTTAGAACAGGACACAATCCACTTCGTAGCCACATGTACACACAATTTAAAATTGGCGAATCAGCCATGTGTACTTGTGGACTGGCATCTGAAACAACAGATCATGTCCTCCAAGACTGTCCCAGATACAACATATCAAGGCAGAACTTTTGGCCAAGAAAAACATTGGCGCAAGTCAAACTTTACGGGTCGCTGAGTGAATTACAACACACGGTGAAGTTCATACTGGAGACAACATTGCAGATATAGATAATTTATGTCAAGCGAACGAAAGGAGAAGAGGAAAAGACGACTATAGACAGCACAGCACGATCTTGTAGACTGTAGAAAGCATAGAACAAAATAGATGTCGACTTGAGTAGACAGCGCGAACTTAATGTCGACTGTAGGAAATTAATGTACTCAGGTAAACTAAATGTATCTATCCTAAATAAAACAGCACAAATTATTTCAATTATCGAAAACAAAGCACGAAATAGATGCCGACTAAATTGAAACCCCAATAACTGTATGTCGGCTACAGAACATTCATAACAAAACTTTATGTCCACTACAGAACACTTATTACTAAACTTTATATCGACTATAGAACACTCATAAAAAATTTTTTTATCCACTATAGAATACGCATAAATAAACTTTATATAGATTTCAGAACACTCATAACTAAACTTTATGTCGACTATAGAAAACAGCACAAACTAGATATTGACGGTAAAAAATACAGCACGAATTAGATGTCAACTGCAGAAAACAGCGCGAACTTTATATCGACTGTAGAAAACACAGCACGAATTGTTTGTTGACTATGAAAATCACATCACCAGCCACACGATAACTACAACATTTGAGGAAAGGGGGGGGGGGGGGCGAGGAAACTATCAGCAGCACTTTCTGGAATGTTCTTTAACAACATTTGTTCAACTAACGCAGCTCCTGAGATGGTACATCCAATTACTACAACGTTCCTATTTCAGTTAGTTTTCATAACAGAACTTCCCATGATCATTCATGTAGAACGACTAAACAAAAGCCCATGTGAATAGATATCATATTTAGGTTACAGAACCAAACTGCTATCATTTTCCTGCCTAGGCCCTGTGAATTCTACGTAATGACTAAACGGCTTTCATGTCTTCATATCCAAATTCCAGACCAACAAACGAGTCTTTTGTGGGCCTTTGTTTGCTTAGAGGGACAAGTTAACTAAAGACGTGTATGTGTATGTGAAAGGTGGTTGTATACATTGACTCAAGTAATATTTCAAGTTAACATGATTATTTACTAGCATCATAGAGGGTGGGTTGTGTAAATACGGACACAAGATTGCTTAAACCATGGCTTGTGTCAATAGTCTGCGTCAAGGAATCCAGGAAGTGTCATGTGGCTGTGAAATAGGAGTCAATTGTTCAGAGAACAGGTGTGCTTCCAGACAGTGGCGGGAGAATCGAACTGTGCAAGAGATTTGGGGAACTTACCCCATATGCCCAACAACAGGAGTGGATGCACCGCTGGTAACTGACCGATCGATCCGTTTATCCACACCGCCGAGTTGCTATCTAAGGTTAGCCGTGGCATTTTGTTCGCTCGTTCAATTTGAATTAGCCACGTTCAACCTCTGACCAGGAAGCTAGCCTCGTCCTAGTCAATATCGGTTATAATTATGGCAACAAAATGTGATGCTTTTTTTTTTTGCGTAGTGTTTGGTGCTAGTATTTTATGTCTTCCGTGTCTAACTGACCGGCCAGGTCGTGTCCGTCTCATTGTGCAGGCCTGGATCTGATTCTGGAATGTGTTCCTTTTGGTGCCATCCGTTCCAGATACCTTTTCTACCTCCGAAAACGTTATAACGAGGGCAACAGAAAGAACTACACAAACCACATCTAATCTACGGTCCTGTGGGAGCATCCATTGCTGATACAACTACGACTTCTGAGACAGGACTATTCAACTAGCGGCCCGCGGGTTTAATCTGGTTAAATCGTTAGGCTAGTCCGGATATCTAGTCGAAAAGAAGTC